CATCACGAGGCTGTGTAAACCGAGCAACTACAGGATCTGTATACAGCTGGGCCAAAGAGCGAGAAAGAACCTCTGCTGATAGAATGAACAAGGACGGAGAGAGTGGGTCGCCCTGCTGCAGGCCCCTCGTCGAATGAAAAAAGCCCTCTCGAATCCCATTAATAATGACTGAATACCATATATTCGAGATGGCCCGATACACCAAATCGATCCAAGTCTCTGAAAATCCAAATCGGCGCAACACTGACATCAAGAAAAACCAAGAGACCCGATCATAGGCCTTCATCATGTCCAACTTCAGAATGACATCTTCATTATCCACCCGCATCCCGTGACACATCTCCTGGGCTAAAAGAATATTATTAGTGATAGAACGCCCCGCCACAAACCCGCTCTGATGCGGGGAGAGCAGTCGGGGCAGCACAGAAGCCAAGCGAACCACCATAATCTTCGTGATGATCTTCTTGCGGTAATTACACAAACTGATGGGTCTGAAGTCCGCAAAAGTCACAGGATTGGGCTTCTTGGGCAACAAAACAATAGAAGTGTGCGTGAGGGAGCGAGTCAGGTCGTGGCCCAAGAAAAAGGCCTGCACCATCGCCAATAAGTCCATGCAAATGATCGTCCAAGCGGCCTTATAGAAAGCCCCAGAAAAGCCATCGGGCCCCGCTGCACTCCGAGAATCCATAGCAAAGACTGCAGTCTTGACCTCCTCCATCTCCGGGACAGCACATAGCCGGTCATTATCATCATCAGTGACCAGCCGTGGAATCATGTCTAAGGCCAAAGATGTGACACTAGGATCTGCAGTGAACATGGCCTGAAAAAAGGTGATTGCCTGCGATGCAATCCCAGCTCTCTCCGTGACCCACTGCCCATGATCGTCCTGTATGCGGTGAATGTAAAGCTTCCGGCGGCGATCCTTCACCACAGAGTGAAAGTACCCCGAGTTCCTCTCCCCGTCCGTCACCCATTTCACATGGGCTTTCTGCCGCCAAAACTCATCC